GGCAGCCCCCCGCCACCCCAGGCCCCCCAACTGTCCCCGGACACGAGGATGCTCCAGCAGCCCCCGGCGAGGAGGACGCCTCCGGGGAGGCCAAGAGGGAGGACCCCCCCACGCCCCTCGGCTCGGCCACCCGCCCCGCCACCCCAGGCCCCCCAACTGTCCCCGGACACGAGGATGCTCCAGCAGCCCCCGGCGAGGAGGACGCCTCCGGGGAGGCCAAGAGGGAGGACCCCCCCACGCCCCTCGGCTCGGCCACCCGCGGGCCCTGGCCGTCCCCCAGTGTCCCCCAGCCCGGGTGGACAGAGCCCGCCGGGTCCCCGAGCTCCGGGCTGCTCCTGGAGCCCTCCGCTGAGCCAGAGCTGGGGGGCCCGGGTGGGTCCCCGCTGCTGGATACCGACAGCGGCAGCGGGGAGGAGCCGGCGCTGGACGAGCGGGAGCTGCTGGCCTGGGTGGGCACCGGCAACGCCAGCGGGCACGGTGAGCTGCGGGCACAGCGAGCTGCGGGCACGGCGAGCTGCGGGCACAGGGAGCTGCGGGCACCGGGGCTGGCGGCCGCGGGGAGAACAGGAGGGTTTGAGGCCGAGGTTTGGGCGGTGTCGCTCCTTTTATCCGAATTTCCTGGCCGGGAGACGATGGGGTGGGAGCGGTGGTAGCACCGCGCCCCCCAGCCTGGCTCAGGGCAGCGCTGCCGCCCCGCAGCGCCGCCGGACCCGTGCCGGAACAACCCGTGCCTGCACGGCGGGACGAGCCGCGCCAACGGCACCGTGTGCGGCTGCAGCTGCGCCCCGGGCTTCACCGGCGAGAACTGCGAGATCGGTGAGTGCCCGGGCACCGCGCGGGGGTGGCACCGCGGCTCCGAGCTCAGCGCCATGCCCCTTCCTCGCTCGCTGGCAGCGGAGGGCTCGGGGGTGGTGGCGGGCGGTGTCGCCGTGCCCGCAGCTCCCGGTGTCCCCGCAGACATCGACGACTGCCTGTCCAGCCCGTGCCAGAACGGCGGCACCTGCATCGACGAGGTCAATTCCTTCGTGTGCCTCTGCCTGCCCAGCTACGGCGGCAGCCGCTGCGAGAAAGGTGGGGACAGCCCCCGGTGTCCCCCCAGCCCGACTGTGTCACGGCGGGGACCCTGCCCAGCCCCCGTGGCTTTGGGTGGGGCTGGAAGGGGACACAAATCCTGCCTGGTGGGTCCCTTGCCGTGCCGCCACTGTCGCCGCGTCCCCGCAGACACGGAGGGCTGTGACCACAACTGGCACAAGTTCCAGGGCCACTGCTACCGCTACTTCGCCCGCCGGCGCTCCTGGGAGGACGCGGAGCGCGACTGTCGCCGCCGGGCCGGGCACCTCACCAGCATCCACTCGCAGGAGGAGCACGCCTTCATCAACGGTGGGCCCCGGGGGTCCCCCGTCCCCCCTCGCCGGGTGCCGCTCGCCTCCTCCGTGCGAGCCGCGGGTGCCTCTCCCCGCAGGCTTCGGCCACGAGAACACCTGGATCGGCCTCAACGACCGCATCGTGGAGCAGGACTTCCAGTGGACAGACAACACCGGCTTGGTGAGGGCTTTGGGGGCTCGGGGGGCTCGGGGTGCGGGGAGGGGGTGCGGAGGGTGTCACCCTCTCCGGTGGTCCCGCAGCAATATGAGAACTGGCGGGAGAACCAGCCCGACAACTTCTTCGCGGGCGGCGAGGACTGCGTGGTGCTCGTGTCCCACGAGATCGGCAAGTGGAACGACGTGCCCTGCAACTACAACCTGCCCTACATCTGCAAGAAAGGCACAGGTAGCGCCCGGCCGGCCTGCCCAGCCTGGCACGGCCTCACCCCGGGCCCCCGGTGTCCCTGGCCACATCCCGCAATCCCTGGTGTCCCCATCCCTCAGGTCCCGGCATCCCTGGCCCCGTCCCACAATACCCAGTGTCCCCATCCCGCAGTTCCCGGCATCCTCATCCCTCAGTCCCTGGTGTCCCCATCCCACAGGTCCCGGTGTCCCCATCCCGCATTCCCCCGTGTCCCCATCCCCATTCCATAATCCCCGGTGTCCCCATCCCACAGGTCCCGGTGTCACTGTCCCCACCCCACAGTCCCCAGACCCCTCCCCATCCCCAGCCAACCTTTCCCAGCCCCTCTCCCGGGCCAACTCCAGCAGTTCTCCCCTAAATCCCCATTTTTCCTCTTTCCCCGCCATCAGTCCTTCCCTCGGCTCTCGGCTTTGTTTAATTTGCTCCCATTAAACCCATTAAATTCCCATTCCTTACCTCTGGAAATTCCATTAACCTCCAGCTGCTCCTCCCCACCCCGCGCGCTAATGACCCCCCAATAAGGCCATTAATTAACCAATTAAACCCTGGGGACAGCTCGTTGCCACCCTGACGGACGATCCTCTCCCAAAGCCACCAGCGGCGTCCCCAGCGACGGGCGGGGGGGCTCCTGGCTGTCCCTTGTCCCCTCCCGGTAACTCCCAGTAACTCCCAGTAACAGGGGGGTGACGGAGCTCTGTGCCCCCCCCCTCCCAGTGCTGTGCGGGCCCCCCCCGGAGGTGCCGAACGCTTTCCCGGTGGGGAAGAGGAAGGAGAAGTACAACATCCACTCCAGCGTGCGCTACCAGTGCCACGAGGGCTTCACCCAGCGCCACGTGCCCACCATCAAGTGCCACAGCACCGGCAAGTGGGACCGGCCCAAAATCCTCTGCACAAAACGTTAGTGGGGCACTCGGGTTAAAGCGGGTGGGCGGGGGTCCGGAAGGCTGAGCTGACCCCCCCACCGCGTGCCCTGCCTTGCCCCCCGTTAGCCAGGCGGTCGCACCGAGCGCGGCGGCACCGGCGGCACCGGCACAGCCACCCGCACCACCAGCACCACCACCACAAACCCCGCAAGGAGCGGCGAAAACACCGCCAGCACCTCCGGCTGGACTGGATGGAGGAGGGCCACTACTTCTAGAGCCGGGCGAGCACAAAGGGGGACGTGGTGGCGTCCCCCGCCCCTGTCCCAGCCCCTCCCCGACCCCCTTTTTTAGCCCCCTTTTGGCTTTAGCTCCTTAGGATGCCCGGCCCCGTAGGGAATAGGATCCGGAGGGGGCGGCTGCGTGTGCGTCCCCAGCCCTCCCTGCATGTCCCACGCTCAGCCCCCCGGCCCGGGCTGGAGCCCCCAGCCCCGCACAGGGACCCCCCCAAGCTGGGCTCTGTCCCTGTCCCCAAATCGGGGGGTGAATCAGGCAGCCCCCCCTGTCCCACCTGGGGTGGCTCTGGTTTTTTAGCAGCCCCCCCTCCCCATTTCCCTGCCCCAGCACCCCGGGGCGTCCCCGCGGTGGGCACGGGGTGGGGCGGGGGGGGAACACGGTGGCTGCGGGGCCACTGTCCCGCCCCGCGCCTGCTTTGGGGGTGCTCGGTTTGGTTCTGTCCCCTTTCCGTTCGTTTCGGGTCCCCGTTGGAGTTGGCGTGCGTGTGTGTGTGTGTACGGCGCTTTCCGATCTCTGCTGTTTGCGACGTGACTGCCGTGTCCCCACCCCCTCCCCGACCCCCTCCTGACGCCCCCTCCCCATTTCTGACTCTGCCTTTCTGTACTGCTGGACATTTTAATAAATTTTTTTAACAGTTGAGCGACCCCCCTCCCTTTCCTGGGGACCTTGGGACGTGTCCCCTGCCCCGCGCCGCTCCCCAGCTGCCTCCTCTCACCGCCCCCCCTCCATTCCGAGCAGCCCCAAACTGTCCCCCAGGGTCCCCCGTGCCACATCCGCCACCTGCTCCCGGTGGTGGCCGTCACCTGTGTCCTTGTCCCCCGCCAGCGCGGCCGCGGCGTCCCCCTGGAGATAGGGAGACGCCAATGGATTCTTTGGGATGATTCCTGCCTAAAACATCCTCCATCATCCGCCCCTGAGGCTCCCCCGGCCCCCCTGTCACCCACGGCCCCGCTGTCCCCGCCCAGGGCTGTGGCAGATATTTATTTCCAGTCATTAAAGATGATTTACGGGCTGTGCTCCGAATCCGGGGGTCCCATCCGTGCCGTGCCACCCCCGCCGTGCCCCCGGCTCGCTGCCAACCCTGTGACACCGCGGGGTGGCTCCGCTGCCGCTCCTTGGACCCAGCGCCGATCGATCCCAGGGCTGCGATGTCCCGGGTGAGCCGGGAACGGCCCCGAGCCCCGATCGATCCCAGGGCTGGGATGTCCTGGGCCAGCCGGGAACGGCCCCGAGTTTCGATCCATCCCAGGGCTGCGATGTCCCGGGTGAGCCGGGAACGGCCCCGAGCCCCCCCGGGCTGCCCCAAGGATACAGCGGAGCCGCGCTCAGCTCTCCAAAGCGGCCGAAGCTTTTATTTCATCTACGTCCAGGGCTGCCAAAGCCTGCGGCCGGTGCCCGGCCGGGTGGGCACAGCGGCCGCTGCCCCCCGGCCCCTCCCCGCTCCGGCCCCTGCCAAGCCAAGCGGGAGCTGCCCCGGGGGGCTGCGGGACCCCCCGGCTGCCGAGGCACGAAGCCAAACCCGGTGCCCCCAGTCCTTGCCCAGCGCCACGGGGGGATTTTGGGGGGGTCTTGCGGCACCTCCCGGGGGCGGTCAGCGCGGCGACGCGGTGAGGATGAGGAGGGCGGGGGGCTCTGCGGCGCTTTAGCTCATGCAACAGGCGCGTCGAGAAGCGAGAGCTGCGAGGAGCGGGGGGCCAGCCCCGGGTGGGGGGCGCAGGCTCCTGGCTGGGCTCACCAAACCCGTCCCCTCCCGCTGCCCCGGTGTCCCCAAGCGCCACCGAGGGCCGCCAGCCCGCGCCGCTGCCACCTCTCCGTCCCTCGGCAGGGGCTGCCCGCAGCTCCCCGCACCGCGCGGGGCTCGGGGGGGTGGGGGGTGATGAAGGGGAGACCCCAAACCAAACCCGGCGGTGCTGCCGGACCACCCCGAGCCTCACACGCGTTTGGGGACCCCCGCGGCCACCACGGGCGGGGCTTCCCCGGCTTTTTTGAAGCAGTACACGCCGAAGAGCTTGTACTTCTTGTCGGGGAAGCCGAGGTTGCGCACGCCGGGCTCGCGGCCGCCGCAGCGGGCGCGGGGGTTGACGATGGGGTAGCGGATGCTGCCGTCCTCCAGCCAGCCCGCCTCGCAGCGGTCCAGCAGCTGCAGCTTCCAGGCCGCGTACAGCTGGCCCACCTTGGCCACGGCCGCGCCGTTGTTCTTGCACGCCTGCACGGCCTCCGGGTAGCTGAGCTTGCGGAAGGTTTTCAGGAAATAAACTTTGCCTGGGAAAAGGGGCGATAAAGGGGAGGGAGCGTCCTCGGTGCCTCGGGGTGGGTGCTCCCCAAAACCCCCGCTCTGGAGCACCCCACGAGGCGTTTTTTTGGGGATGGATGGAAGGCCTGGGGAGCCCCCAAAAGGTTTTGGGGAGGTTGGAGAAGCTGGGGGGTGTCAGCACTGTGGAGCCCCCAAAAGGTTTTGGGGGCTGGAGGTGATGGAAGTCATGTGGAGCGTCCAAAACATTTCCTTAAACAAAAGAGGTTTTCGCTAAAATAAATAAATTAAAAAAAAAAAAAAGGATGAAAAAGAAGAGATTTTGGCTAAAACCAAGAGGTTTTGGGTTAAAAAAACAAAGAGGGTTTGGCTTAGAAAGGTTTTATATATATATATAAAAATTGGATTAAAAAGAAATATGTTTCGGCTAAAACCAAGAGGGTTTGGGTTAAAAAAAGAGGTTTTGACTAATAAAGAAGAGGCTTTGGATTAAAAAAAAGAGGGTTTGGATTTCAAAAAAAAAAAAGAGGTTTTGGATAAGAAAGAGGAGATTTTGGCTTAAAAAAAAAAAAGGACTGGCTTTAAATAAAAAGAAAAAAAATTGCTTAAACTCAGTGTTCCAACCCCAGCAGCGCTTCACTCCCCCTCCCACCACCCCGAGGAGCACGGGGACTCTCCGTGCCTCAGTTTCCCCTCACCGTTGAGGTTGGAGGTGAAGCAGAAGGCGTCGTAGTGCTCGCTCTCCTTGTGGCGGTAGCCGTAGTTGCGGACGCCCACGGGGGTGTCCTTGCGGCCGCACTGCTCGCGGGGCCGGGAGATCGGGTACTGCACGGAGCCGTCCTGCAGCCAGCCCGCGTTGCACCAGTCCAGCCCCTCCAGCCAGGCCTGGTGCAACTGGTCGTGCGAGGCCAGGATCCCGTCCTGCTGCAGGCACGCCTGCTGCGCCTCGTGGAAATTCAGCGTGTAGCGCCCCAGGCGAGGGTGGTACGGGAAAATCACCCCTGGTAAGGAGGGATTGGGGTTTGGGGTCGGTGAGGCGGTTTGGAGGGTGAGGAGGGGGTTTTTGGTTGGGTGAATGGCCTGGGAAATTCTGCTCGTGGTTCCTCTGCGAGGGGGTTTGGGAGTTCTGGGAAACCCTGACTCCAGGAGATTCTGCTCTGGGGTTTGGGAAAACGTGGGAGAATCGCCTGGAAAATCCCATTCATTGTCCCTCTGCAAGGAGCTCTGGGAGATCCGAGTTTTGGGACTACAGGGAACGCCAAACTCCAGGAGATTCTGCCCTGGAGTTGGGGAAAATGGGAATTCCCGTTGGCAGAATCGCCCGGAAAATCTCTCGCATTGTCTCTCTGCAAGGAGTTTTGGGAGTTCTGGGTTTTGGGACTGCAGGGAACCCCAAACTCCAGGAGATTCTGCCCTGGAATTTGGGAGCATCGCTGGTGCCTGCATGGGGTCCAGCCGAGTCCTGGCACCCTCAAACTGCGCCCTCCGAGCTCCCAAAAAATCTGTTTCCCCCATTCCCACCCCCAAACTGCATCCCCCAACCCCTAAAAAGACGTTTCCCCCTTCCCCAACATCCCAGCACTGCCACCCCTGTCCCCGCTGCTTTCCGAGCCCCTGCCGCCCCCAAACTGCGCCCTCTGAACCCCTAAAGAAGGTTTTACCCCCTCTACCACCTCCTGAACCCCTAAAGAATCATTTCCCCTCTGCCACTCCCCTGTCCCCGCTGCTTTCTGAGCCCCCAAACTGCGCCCTCTGAACCCCTAAAAAGGCGTTTCCCGCTTTCCCAACATCCCAGCACTGCCACATCCCAGTCTCCGGTGCTTCCCATCCCCAAACTGCGCCCTCCGAACCCCTAAAAAAGCATTTACCACCTCCTGACCCCCAAAATAATCATTTTCCCTCTGCCACCCCCTGTCCCCGCCGCTTTCCGAGCCCTCACCCCGCAACCTCTACGAGCCACCACCGCAGACCCTCTCCACCAACAAAACCCCCCGACAACCCCACAGCCCACACCACCTGCACACCCCGGCAATGCCACCCCGGGAAGGTCCCAAAGCACCTTCCAGGTCCAGCTTGACCACGCCGGTGTCGTCCTCGAGCTCGTTGGTCACCTCGCACTCGTAGCGCCCGTAGTCCTGCAGGGTGACGTTGCGGATGATGAGGGACGCGTCGCCCACCCCGTCCTCCTGCAGGGCCGTGCGACCCCGGTAGGGCCCGAACGCCCTGCGGGCTTTGCCCAGAGCCACGAACACGTCCACGAAATCCATGGGCTCCGTCACTTTGGTCCACTTGAGGCGGATCTCGGCCGGGTCGTGCGCGGAGATGTCGTAGTGGTAGCGGCAGGGCAGGATGATGGTGCCGCCGCGGTGTGTCACCACCTTGCCCGGAGCTGTCTGCACCACCACGGCGCCGCTGTCACCCTCTGGGGGGGGACACGGGGTCAGGGAGGGGGCTGTCACCGCGCCGGGGCTGGCACAGGGGAGGGGCCAAGTGGCGGAGAGGGATGGGAGAGTTTTTTGGGTGGAGTTGTGCTCTTTTAGGGGCAAGGAAGGATGGGGATGTGGGGTCACGCTTTGGGGGGAATTCCTCTGTTTTGGGGGAAAAGGAGCATCGGGATGTGGGAACATCTTTTGGGTTGAGTTCTCCTTTTTATGGGGTAAAGGAGGATGGGGATGTGGGGACATACTTATGGGGGAATTCCCTGCTTTTAGGGGCAAAGCAGGGTGGGGATGTGGGGTCACACTTTGGGTGCAATTCTCCTTTTTTCCAGCCCTCAGGAGCGCTCGGGATAACCCCTGGGATAACCCCAGGACAGTTCCCGCAGGGCTGGGGGGACACGGGGGACACATCAGAGCCCTGGCTTTGCTTTGATGGCACTAAACCCAACACCCCAAAGGCTGCAGGCGCTCCCAAACCCATCCGAAACCCACCCCAGACCCCGCCGGTCCCCGGCCCCACTCACCCATCACATGAACCACCTTCTTCCTGCCGCGGGCGTTGGGCAGCGCCTCGGGGGCCGCCAAGGCTGCGAGGAGCAGCAGCGCAGCGGGGCCGGCGGCCCAGGGGCTTTGGGGACGCATCTGGGGGGCGACAGCAGCGCCCTGAGCACCCCCAAACCCCCCGCGCCCGAGGGGATCCCCCGCTCTGCCCCCCAGGAGTGCCCAGCCCGAGGGGTGCCCGCACGGCTGCCACCCACCCTGTGCGGGGGTCGGGCGGGGCTGGGTCGGTCGCTGAGCCCCCCCCAGGGCGCCCCCCAGCCCCGCAGGGACCCCCCGACCCCGGCGCTGAGCTCGGCGTGCCCCGGGGCTTCCAGGCGGGGTGAAAATCCCGCGGCAGCCGCAGCGGGCCGGATCTCCCGAGTTATTTATGGCACCGCTGGAAACGGAACTGATGGGCACGGAGCGGGCAGCGGTGCCCCCCGAGACCCCTCGGCCGCGCCCCCTCCCCGGGGACAGCGCGGAGGGGCCGCGGGAGGAGCCTCCCCCTCCTCGGGGGGCTGCGAGGCTGAGCCCCGCGCTCTGTGGGTGCCCCAAATGCCAGCCTGGCCCTGGCTCTGCCCCCCTGGATGGGGGCAGGGCAGAGCGGCGGCCTCCCGGGGGTCCCGCTGCCCCATCGGGGGGCAGGGGGAGGTGGGCAGCCCCCCCGGTGGTCCCGGCGCCGTGTCCGGGGGCTCGGGGAGCTGGGCAGCCGCTGCCCGGGCTCGGGGTCCGCTCGGGAGGCACAAAAAGCGGGGCAGCCCCCCCGGGGGTCCCGGTGCCCGATCGGGGGGCGGGGGGAGGCGCAGCCCCTCCCGGTGGTGCCGGTGCCAAGCCCGGGCTGAGGGCGAGCAGGCAGCCCCGGTGCCCGGTGCGCGGGCAAATGGAGCGGGGCACCCCCCCCACGGGGGTCCCGGTGCCCGGTGGGGGCAGGGGGAGCGGGAAACCCCCCCCGGGCGTTCCCGTGGCGGGTGCGGGACAAGGAGGAGCGGGGCAGCCCCGCGGGGTCCTGGTGCCGCTCGGGGCAGCGGCTGCGGCGGTGGCGGCGCTCGGGGCCCGGTGCGGTGTTGCAGTGCGGGACACTGCGGCGGCAGCCCCGGGGCTGCGGGACTCCGGTGCCCGGGCGGGGACAGCGCAGCGCGGGGGGAGCCCCGCTTCTGCCGCCGCCGCCACGCAGCCAGCGACCCCCGCCCGCCGCGTCCCTCCCGCTCCCGGGGGTCCCGTGCCGGTGCCCCGCGCCCGCCCCGCAGCGAGGGAGCGGCGGCCGCAGCCCCGCACTCACCGTGTGCCCGGTGCCGGCCCGCGGGAGGGGCCCGCCGGTGTCGCCGGTACCTCCTCCGGTACCTCCTCCGGTACCTCCTCCGGTACCTCCGCCGGTGCCGCCGCTGCGGCTCCGCGCAGAGGGCGACACCGGGAGCTCGGCCCGGCCCTGCCCCGGTGCCGGCGCTGCGCAGGACCGGCGTCTCGCCAAGGTCACCGGCCCGCCCGGTGCGCCCCGGAGCCCCCCGGCACCGCCGGGACCCGCGGGCCGGGCTGCGCGCGGGGAACGCGCGGGGCACGGGGAAGTGGATCCGGTAAATCCCCGCCGCGGGCACCGCAAGGGCGGCTGTGCCCACCCAGCTCCAGCCCAGGCACCCACCTGGCGGGTGCCACCCCAAAAACCCCGGTACCACACCCCGCCCTGTGCCCACCCCCCAAAATCCCACACCCACCCGGCGGGTGCCACCCCCAAATCCCGGTGCCACCTCCCGCCCTGTGCCCACCCCCCAAAAACCCCGGTGTCACCCCCGGAATCTCACCCCACACCCCGCGGGCACCCTGGCACCCGCAGGGACGCGCGGGGAACGCGCGGGGCACGGGGAACGCGCGGGGCACGGGGAAGCGGATCCGGTAAATCCCCGCCGCGGGCACCGCAAGGGCGGCTGTGCCCACCCAGCTCCAGCCCAGGCACCCACCTGGCGGGTGCCACCCCAAAAACCCCGGTACCACCCCCCGCCCTGTGCCCACCCCCCAAAATCCCACACCCACCCGGCGGGTGCCACCCCCAAATCCCGGTGCCACCTCCCGCCCTGTGCCCACCCCCCAAAAACCCCGGTGTCACCCCCGGAATCTCACCCCACACCCCGCGGGCACCCTGGCACCCGCAGGGACCCCCGGCCCAGCCCGTGCCCCGGGGGGCGCCGCTCCTGCCCCGGGGTCCCCGCCTGCCCCGGGGGGACCGCGCTGGGCACAGCGGGCACACAGCGGGCTCGGAGCGAGCCTCGGCTCCTTTATTTTGTCACCAACGTTCCCTTGGTGCTGTCGCCTCGCCCGAGCCCTCCCAGCCCGAGCCGGGGCACCGGGACGGGACCGGGACGGGACCGGGACCCCCCGGGAGGGAGCGCGGCTCCTGCGGCCACACACGGGCAGGGCTGTGACCGCAGCGATGTCCCGGCGGAGCTTTTGGGGGACATCCCCACAGCTTTGGGGGGACCGGAGCATCCCTGGGGACATCCCTGGGGACACCTCTGGGGACACCTCTGGGGACACCCCTGGGGACACCTCTGGGGACACCTCTGGGGACACTTCTGGGGACACTCCTGGAGACAATTCTGGGGACACCCCTGGGGACACCTCTGGGGACATCCCTGGGGACACCCCTGGGGACACCTCTGGGGACACCTCTGGGGACACCTCGGCTCCCAGCGCTCGGAGTGGGGCGGGATCCCCCGGGGTGGTGACAGCAGCTCCGGGGAGGTGACAGCAGCCCCGGGGTGGGGACAGCAGCCCCGGGGAGGTGACAGCAGCAGCTGGGAGGTGACAGCAGTCCCGGGGCACCGTCAGGACCCGTCACTGGTACTTTTTGGCGCGGGCCAGGCCCGGGCCGGCCCGGGGCAGGAAGAAGGCCGGGGAGCGCAGGCAGCGCAGCGCCAGCAGCTGCGGGCCCAGCGCGTACAGGACGTTGGAGAGAAGGAAAGTCCAGAGCACCTCCTCGGGGGTCTGGTACGGGAACGGCGTGCGGGAGTGCAGCGAGGAGCCCAGGTGAGCGAACTGAGCCTGCGGACAGCGGGGTGGGGCGGGGGCGTGACAGGGGAGCGGCCCCAAAAAGGGCGAACCCCCCGGGCCAAAGGGTGCAAAGCCCTGCGCTAAAAGGTGCAGCCCCCAGGCACAAAGAATCCCTAAAAGGTGCAGAATTCCGAGCCTGAAATGTGCAAAAATCCCGGCATCTAAGGGTGCAGACCCTTGGACCTCAAAGGTGTGAAACCCTGGTCCTAAAAGGTGCAAACCCCCAGTCCTAAAAGGTGCAAAACCCCGGTCCTAAAAGGTGCAAACCCCTGGTCCTAAAATGTGCAAACCCCTGGTCCTACAAGCACCCTGTCCCCCGCCGGTACCTCCTCCGGTACCTCCTCCGGTAAGGTGCAAAACCCTGGTCCTAAAAGGTGCAAAACCCCAGTCCTAAAATGTGCAAACCCCTGGTCCTAAAAGGTGCAAACCCCCGGTGCTAAAAGGTGCAAAACCCCGGTCCTAAAAGGTGCAAAGGCCCAGCCTCAGAGGGGTTTTTGGCTCCAGCCCATCCTATCTATGGCCCTGCGTCTCTCTCCGTCCTATTTCTGTCCCACTAATCCCGGGTTCTGTCCAAATCCACCGAGGCCGAGGCAATTATCAGCCAGCCAAGCTGCTCCACTTGCAGCTGCGGCTGTGGCTCTGTCCCCCAAAACCGGGATCTGCCCCCCAAAACTGGGATTTACCACCTAAAACCGGGATCTGCCCCCCAAAACTGGGATTTACCACCTAAAACCGGGATCTGCCCCCCAAGCCCGGGATCTTCCCCCCAAACCTGGGATTTACCTCTCAGAACTGAGATCTGCCCCTCAAAAGTGGGATGTGCCCCCCAATTCTGGGATTTAGCACCCAAAACTGGGATCTGCCCCCCAAAACCGAGGCCAAAGCTTTATCAATTCCTGGCTGGGATTTCCCCCAGATCCCAGGATTTCAGAGCCGCATGGCTTGGGATGTTCTCCCCAAATCCCGGGACTTTGGGGCCATCCTGTTTGGGATTTTCCCCCCAGATCCCGGGATTTCAGGACTACCCCGTTTGGGATTTTTCCCCCAAATCCCGGATTTTGAGACCACCCGGTTTGGGATTTTTTCCCCCCAAATCCCAGGATTTTGAGGCTACCTTGTTTGGGATTCTTCCCTCAGATCCCGGGATTTCAGGACGGCTCATTTTGGGATTTTTCCCCCAAATCCCGGCATTTTGGGGCTGCCCAGTTTGGGGTTTTTTCCCCCCCAAATCCCAGGATTTTGAGGCCATCCCGTGTGGGATTTTTTCCCCCAAAATCCCAGGATTTTGAGGCCGTCCCATGTGGGATTTTCCCCCCCAAATCCCAGGATTTTGAGGCTGCCATTTTGGGATTTTTTTTTTCCCCAAATCCCAGGATTTTGGGGCTGTCCCGTGTGGGATTTCCCCCCCCAAAATCCCGGATTTTTGGCCGCCCACCTGCGCCACTCCGCCGGCGAACACCAGGCTCCAGTCGGGCAGCCAGGAGCAGCCGGGCAGGGCCAGCCCGTAGATGGCGAGGAAGAGGAAGGGCAGCAGGTAGAACAGGTAGATCAGCATCTGAGGGACACCCGGACTGTCACCCCTGCTGGCTCTGGTGGCACCTGGAGGGGGGGTCCGGCCCCTCCCGTGCTGTGCCCCCCCCTCACCTGCACTTTGGGGTAGCCCACGGGGTCGCGCAGGTAGGGCTCGTGCAGGTAGGTGTAGTCAAAGCAGGAGTCGGCCGGGCAGTCCAGGACCACCTGGGGGGGCACAGGTGGGCGAGGGCAGGGGACCCTCCCCGGGACCCCCAAAACCCTCCCCAGGACCCCCAAAACCCTCCCGGGGACCCCCGAGATCCTTCCTGGGATGCCTGAGATCCTCCAGGACATCCAAAACCCTCCCCGGGACCCCCAGAATTCTCCCCAGGATCTCTGAGATCCTCCCCGGGACCCCCAAAACCCTGCCCGGGACCCCCGAGGTCCTCCAGGACACCCAAAACCCTCCCGGGGATCCTTGAGACCCTCCAGGACCACTCCACGCCCCTCCAAAACCTCCCGAGACCCCCAAGGACACCCCCCAAAGCCCCTCCAAGAGCCCCCTGAGCCCCTCCAGGATCACCCCAAGCCCTTCCAGGATCACCCTGAGCCCCTCCAGGACCCCCCAGGATGATCTCGAGACCCCCCAGCACCCCCAAAATCCCCACCAAGAGCCTCCCGAGCCCTTCCAGGACAACCCTGACCCCCTCCAGGACCCCAGACTCCCCCAGGATGATCTCGAGACCCCCCAGCACCCCCAAAATCCCCACCAAGAGCCTCCCGAGCCCTTCCAGGACAACCCTGACCCCCTCCAGGACCCC